ATAGGAGACCATATACATGTAGTGTCATTGTGTTCTCCTTTGGGTTTGATTTGTTTAAAGATATCTGTGGTTTTTTCCATTAAGTATAGATTCCATAGTTTCTTGTACCAGAGCTTTACGTTCAGAGTGTTTTGGGACTTCCATGTGGATGCAATTGCGGTTTTAGCTGCAAACAGTTTCGTCTCTGAGGTTCAAGAGTAGTGCTTCTGGGGTTTCATCTATTCTATGCTCAGTTACAGTCCTTATGTCCTCTTATTATTTTGTCCCAGAAAGACGCTACGATAGGCAATGTATGTAGTTACCTGTTTCTTTACATCCCCTCCAGCAAAGGGGACCGGCATTGCTGGAGATGTATGAAATTTGTTGAGGAGTTTTATACCACTTGGATATTAATCTGAAATTTTGCCATTTTTGTGTGATGATGGGGGATTTGTTTTCATGTGTTCTCCAGATGTCTAACCCTACCTTGTCTTTGAAATACAGATTACATGATTAGTTATTGTGGCTGCTGATAGGCCTGTCCTGTTGAATACGTCAGCCTGCTCTATCACTTGCCCCGTAAGAGAGGCAATGGGGAGAGAAGGCTGTGGCCGAGGTACCGTGACTGGCAAGCAGACCCAGTCTCAATTCGGAGTCAAGCAAGCTGCACCTGGAACCCTCGGGTTTCTTAATCTCCCCAAGGTCAGCCCCACGGTTCACTGTGAAAGTTGCCGATATTCTACTTCAGACCGGTGAGCTTTCAAAACGAATATTCAGAGTTGCCAGCTAGCTGTGGTTCAGGTTTGCTCACATTTGTCAAGTGGCTTAGGCAATAAATTGAATCCTTCCATATCCCCACCACCACCACCACCAAAAAGGCATTCATTCATGACACAAGAGCTGTCTGCTTGTCTTTGACATTCCTCCTATTTTTAACTGTTTTATTGCTTTTATACTACAAACTACAAAGGGAGGGGAAATAGGGGATACTAAACTAAGATACAGAGTTATGCAAGGATCATATAATACGAATTATACAAAAATTGTATCTAAGACTTGGAGTTTCCCCCACATTTAAGCTTTTAAGAATAAGGGTTAAGGGTTATTTTAAGAATAAGGGTCAAACTTTCAGTATTAAGCTATTTGTAAAAAAAAAAAAAAAAAAAAGGACATTTCTCCTATTTCTGTCCCTTCTGCAGAAGACCAGGTGGCCCAGCAGACAGAGGCAGTGTTCCAGAGCTATGCTTTCCACCGATACCAGCAGGAGCTGGAGCAAAATGAAGCAGATGTGCCAATAGATCCAGAAATCGCCGCAATCCAGCAGGAGCCGGGCAGGTAGAGTGCCACAGAATTTAACCCCAGTTCCCTCCCTGAATCCGAGGCAAGACCAATGCCTGCCTCAATCCAGGTTCCTGGCTAACACTTTTTGGTGGTCTCCTGGCAGCACCAGCAACCAGGTGGGCAGGCGCCTGGCCTTTATTGGTGATGACATCAACGCACGGTATGATAAGGAATTCTGTGAGATGCTGGAGTCCCTGCAGCTGACAAGGGACAATGCCTACGAGTACTTCACCAGAATAGCCTCCAGGTAAGTCAGCCATCCAGCTTCTTATGGTCCTTCCCAAGAATGTCACAGTTAAATTGGCTTCAGTTTCCAGCATCCAGAGTGTAGCCCTGTTTGGGTTCCCTTACCAGAGAACAAGTGAAGGCTAAAGATGTGAGTGGTCTGCTGAAGCTTCTGCCACATCATCCATTGTTTCAAAGCTCTTAATTGAATCCCAGTTCCTTGCTTCCCTGGAGCTGTAAGCCACTAGACTACTGCACTTCTTCTTAGATGTTCCTGAGACTGACACCCCCCCACAAACACACACACAAACACACCCCTGTCCACAGTCCATCTTATAATTTAACCCTGCTTTACTGCTCCTCTCTGCATTATGTTTGAGATTGTTTTTGGCCCTGATTGTTTGAAACTTATACGGGGACTGACCCAGATTTCTCACTGCACAGGAGCAATCTAGCAGCAACTCTGATTCAAGCTTTAGTGGACAAGCAAATATGTGCATTAAATTAAAAACCACAACAACAAAGTGCTCTGGCAGAGCATGGAGACTAGTCCTGCCTTGTCGTCTGCTACAGAAAGGGTGGCTACCAGTGGCGAGTGGCTTTGTGGAGCCCAGAGCTTGTCCATGGTAGTGAATTGCCTAATGCAAGGCTTGCAATGCATCCCTCTTGATTTCCCTTGTTGAAACAAGAATCTGCCTCCCATTCATCCCCTTGTGTGCATATGTACACCCACTCCCGGTCCTCTGTGAATAATGTTTAACCGTCTCTTCTGTCCTCTCTTCCTGCTCTCCCCTCCTTGGGAAGCCAAGCAGCGTTGTTCTCATCGTTTTACCACCTTGAGGTGGTCAATGTACTGCAACCAGGTAAATTAACCTATAGTGCTTTCTTTTTCTCTGTTTTTATCTCTCTGTGTTCCATACTATGTCTTCTAACTCTCCAAGGTCCTGTGTGTGGATTTCCAAGTTCCTGTAAGGCAGTCAGTTGTGCATCTGTGTTACAATGCTGCTATCCTATTTCAGATTTTAATGTGATTATTCTAAAAAGCTTATCCTAACCATTGACCAAAAAAATCTCAAAGCAACTAACAACCAGCCATCTTGTAAACTGTATTAGCCAATGTTGTGTAGGTTTTAATATTGTGTAGATTATGTTTTAATTGTTTTAAATTTATTGTATATACCTGCTGTCCTGTAGTGCAGGGAAGGACAGGCTAGAAATCTAATTAAATTTAAAAAATACATTAAAGGGGGGGGATTACAGGAAAAAAGTTAGAATTACAGATAAGAACAAACCACAGTGGCAGCACTAGCCAGTTAACAAAATACCTTCCTAAATAAACTTGTGTGAGCTGTCTGTACAAGCCTCTGAACATAAAGTTCTATAGAGGTAGGGGTACACCACAAAAAAGGCCCTGCTGCTTACCTCCAAAGGATATATCCAAAATAGAGCCACATTTGAAAACTTGTGTGTTATACTGGGGAAGCTACTTGTGTGTGTTTGTGACAGAGAGAGTGTGGCCACTTCTGCACTGTTGTTTTTGTCACTCATTTGTCTCTATTGCTTTGGGTTCCCCCCTGCCTTTTTCACATGTATTTTGCTCCGTCTGGGACTACTAGAGAGAGCAATACACAGTGGGGGGGGACGACGACCCTGAAGCAATAGGGACAAATGAGTGACAAAAATGACAGTGTGGAACAAGACAAAGTTTGTGTACAAATTCTCTGCTTTCACAAGTTTTTCTAAAATGAAAAATCTTGTAAATATTCAAAAAAACCTGATAAGTAGAGAGTGAGCTTTGCTTTTGAATCGTGTTCTGCCTTTCCCTCCTCTCCCCTTGCCGCTTCATCAGCATGTTGGGCAAAGGACAGAGTCAGGTTGTTTATTGGATCATTCTAATATAAATTGGGGGTACTTCTGTCAGTGGCTTTCTGGGTTACAACTGGATTGCAAGATCTGCAAGGATTCACTGCTTGTTTGATACACATTCACTGACAGTTAACAGTGCATGAGAATATGATTTGGTCTTGTGACTGTACAGCAGGTATGGTTTTCCTGTTTTTTATTTCGATGAAATTGTAATGTGACTGAGCCAAAGCCCTACTTTAATGTGACTTTTTGAGTAAATGGAGACTTAACTGAAAATATACAAATTCAAAAAGGTTCGCGGCAAGGATGCCCGTTATCCCCACTACTATTTATTTTTGCTCTAGAAGCATTAAATAATTCAGTAAGAAGGAATGACCAGATAAAGGGGTTAAGAGTAAAAGGGGAGGAATATAAGCTTTTGGCATTTGCGGATGATTTGTTATTCATTTTGGAAAATCCTTTGAAATCTATTAGGAGTTTGCTGGAAGAAATTAAAGAGTATGGTCTAGTAGCAGGTCTCAGGATAAATGTTAAGAAAACGAAATTGTTACCTAAAAATTGTGATCTTGAGACTGTGCAAGAAATATCAACAATGGAAATAACTAAAAGAGTGAAATACTTGGGAGTGTATTTAACTAACAGAGCTAGCTCTCTAGTAGAAGATAATTATAGTAAATTGCTAGAAGAGATTAAGAAAGATTTGTTAAGGTGGAAAGATCTACCCCTATCGTTTATAGGCAAAATTGCTACAATGAAAATGAACATACTTCCTAGGTTTTTGTTTTTGGCCCAAAACATACCTGTATTAAAAAATCTGAAATTCCTCACAGAACTAGATAAGATTACGAGAAAGTTTATTTGGCATTCAAAGAAATCAAGAATTAAGTGGAAAGTTCTCCAAGATAGAAAGGAAAGAGGAGGGATGAATGTGCTGAATTGGAAACTATACTATCAGGCTTGTGCGTTAACTTGGATAAAAGAATGGATTTTGCTGGAAGATGTGAGAACATTGGTGTTAGAGGGTCACAATCTTTATATGGGTTGGCACTCGTACATATGGTACGAGAAAGAGAAAGTACATTCGATCTTTAACCAACACATAATAAGGGGAGCTCTAAGTAAAATTTGGACTGAAGTCAAAGAGAGAGTTTATAGGGAAACGCCGAGATGGGTCTCACCGCTGGAAGCCTTTGTTAAACCCTCGCTCTTAGTTGCTGATAAAAAAAGTTTAATTATAACACATTGCTAGAAAAAAATAATGATTTAAAAACAGAAGAAAAATTGCTGCGGGAACATCAAGTCAATTTATCATGGTGGGAACGTACACTATTACGTGATAGATATGGTAAAGATAAATTAAAAGGCTTTGAAGATAATAATACGCAACTGGATAAGATTTGGCTCTCTAGTGATAAATTAATCCAAAAACTTTACAGATTTTTATTAGAAGACTATCAATTGGATGAAAGCATTAAAACTGTCATGATTTCTTGGATGCAGGATATGGGAAAGGAGCTCGAATTTGAGCAATGGGATATAATATGGAAAACTGCTACATTTATGAGATCCATCTCTTATAAAGAAAATATATATAAAATGTTCCACAGATGGTATTGGTCCCCGGATAAAATTGCAAAATGTTATCTGCAAACATCCAATAAGTGTTGGAAATGTAAATCTAATGTGGGGACCTTTTATCACATGTGGTGGGGTTGAGGTAAAATGCAAAGATATTGGAAAATTGTACAAAGTATAATTTTTGAAATATTAAATCTGGACGTCTCGTTAGCTACTGAAATATATTTATTGACTGTAAACCCGAAGGGAAGTGCTAAACAAGAGGCATATTTGCTAGTATATATTATAACAGCTGCAAGAATTCTAATGGCCAATTATTGGAAAACAGATAAAATTCCCTTGAAAGAAGACCTAATAACTAAACTACTTGAGTTAGCGCAAAGGACAGAGTCAGGTTGTTTATTGGATCATTCTAATATAAATTGGGGGTACTTCTGTCAGTGGCTTTGTGGGTTACAACTGGATTGCAAGATCTGCAAGGATTCAGTGCTTGTTTGATACACATTCACTGACAGTTAACAGTGCATGAGAATATGATTTGGTCTTGTGACTGTACAGCAGGTATGGTTTTCCTGTTTTTTTTATTTCGATGAAATTGTAATGTGACTGAGCCAAAGCCCTACTCTAATGTGACTTTTTGGAGGCTGATCTCGTGTTTGCAACTTTCCAGAGCAAGATCAGCCCTTCAGAAAAGCACATCTAGCTTCCTCTCCAAGAAGTGCACGTTTACTTTTAGGCATGTGGTAGGGAAGTACCTAGAAGCTAAAATGACCAAACTGAGGCTTATCCTACTTTGGTCACATTATGGGAAGACCAGAGTCACTGGGAAAGACAATAAAGCTGGGGAAAATTGAAGGCAGCAGGAGAAGAGGAAGACCCAACAGGAGATGGATTGAGTCAGTCAAGGAAGACAGGGCCCCTCCGCCTGCAAGACCTGGGGCAAGGCTGTTCACAGTAGGCTGTTTTGGAGGTCATTCATTCACAGGGTTGCCATAAGTCGCAAGTGACTTAACAGCACACAACACACGCAGGGAAGTACCTGCATTCCACTAACAGGTGTATTTGCTGCCCCATCAGACAAAGAAAGATCTTGAACAAGAGAATGTGGTTCAAGGGTCTGCTCGTGGAGGTGGTTTGTCTCCCCGGACAGCATAAAGACAAGGTGGGGTGCTGGTCTATTTGCCCTTTGCTGCAGAGGAACACACCAACACAGTGTTGCACAGCTGGGTGTCCAAACAATGCTTTATTGCTGCCAGCGGAATATGAAGACCCAAATTGCCAGTCATTAAAGGTAGCCCTGACTTTAAACTAAGCAGAGCAAAATTCCCCTCCTCTTTCCCACAGTTTGTTTGATAGTGGCATAAACTGGGGGCGTGTGATAGCGCTGCTGGGCTTTGGCTACAGGATGGCGATCCATGTGTACCAGCAGGGGATGACTGGCTTTCTGAGGAGGATCACCCGCTTCATAGCAGACTTCGTGCTTCACAACCACATTGCCCGGTGGATTGCCCAGCAAGGAGGATGGGTAAGTCCTGGACATGTCTTTGTAAAAAACAGAATTATTTCTCTTGATGTTAAAGTGGCTTAAATCTGATCTGAGAGGATGTAGACCACCACGGGAGCCCGTTTGGTGTAGTGGTTGTGTGCAGACTCTAATTTGGGAGAAGCGGGTTTGATTCCCCACTCCTCGACTTGCACCTGGCTGGATGACCTTGGGCAAGCCTTAGTTCTGGCACAGCTGTTCTTGAAAAAAGAGCAGTTTCTGTCAGAGTTCTCTCAGCCCCACCCACCTCACAGGGTGTCTGTTGTGGGGAGGGGAAGGGAAAGGAGTTTGTAAGCCGCTCTGAGACACCTTTGGGTAGTGAAGGGCGGGGTATAAATCCAGTCTCTTCTCTTCTTCTCCTCCCTTAGCTGTTTACAAGAAAGTCGTGCGGCCCTTTTGCTCTTCTGCCAGGTTCCTCTGCTAGACCCACTGGCATCTCAGCCTCTTCCCCATGACCTTTTGGTACCAGGTGGTCACCTCTGAGTCTGCTGCTCTTTTTCTCCTGGCTTGGCCTCTTCACATGGTGCTTCTCTGTCCCAGTTTCCTCCAGTGGCCTCTATGTGTCAGGCCCTCCCAGCTGTCCCTCAGCAGGAGCCAAGCCCCCATCTGTTGGGGACTTTTAGGAGCACTTTAAACGTTAAGCCTTTTCTTCCTGAGAAGTGAGTAAAACATGCCACAATGATACACACATCTTTGTGCTTGGAAGTTGCACTTGGCCGTGGATTCCCAGAAAGCATATAGTTGGTATCTAAACAAACTGCTTATGGAATTATACTTTTTACTTTAATATGTATGTCTGTCTGTCTCTGAGGAAGGATTCAAGAAATCTCTCCCCCCCCCCCCATCAGACAGACACAGACATTCATTTTGCAGGCCTTCAGGCACCTTTCTTTTCAAACTATTTTGAGACGAGTGAGACGCAGCTGTGGTCTTTTTAAAGTAACAATACCTTTCTCTCCCACTAGGTGGCAGCAATGGACTTAAGCAATGTTTACTTGAAGTACATGGTGGCTTTGGCAGCGGTGATCTTGCTGGGCCAATTTGTGATAAGTCGCTTCTTCAGGCCATGACTGAGGGGGAACATGCTGGTGGCCACGTGCGTGCCAGCTATTGATGTGCTGCTCTGTGGTGATACTTTCAAAGAAAGAAGGATTCAAGAAACAACCAAAGGAAAAACCCCTTGCAACTGGCAACATCATTTTCAATGTGGCACCGGTATATTTAAAGCAGGGAATCCACAGTGTAGTATTAAAAGGAAGCATGGAAGAGGATTTATTATTTCTGGAGGCCACAGGCAGATTCACAGCATTGTGTGAAAGGGGGGAGAAGAGCTGTCTCTTCCACGAAGTCTCTAAGAACAGCAAATCCTTTTCCAGAACAATCTCAGGGCCAGTTCTAATATAACATTTTGCAGTCCCATCTCTATGGAAATCAGAAGCATGATGGGCTGTATGTGACATGGTTGCGTGTTCTGCATAGTTGTGTTAGGATCACCAGTTTGGTGTAGTGGTTAAGAGCAGCAGACTCTTATCTGGAGAACCAGGTTTGATTCCCCACTCCTCCACAGGCAGCCAGCTGGGTGACCTTGGGTCAGTCACAGTTCTCTCAGAGCTCTCTCAGCCCCACCTACCTCATAGGGTGCCTGTTGTGGGGAGAGGAAGGGAAGGCGATTGTAAACCACTCTGAGACTCCAAGTAGTAAAAAACGGGATGTAAAAAAACAGATCTTCTTCCCATCTTTGTGAACTTTTCTGGTGCTGTAAAAAATCATGTGGCATTCACCTGATTGGGAGAATGTGCCTGTCTACCCTTTGATTTACTGGCAGATCATCTTTTATGAAGAGTATAAACAACATCCATTGAGTGGACATTCAGACATCACATTCTGTAGAGGGGAAGATCCTATTGGCAATGCATCATTTTATGTGAGTTTCAGGGTTTCTCTGCATTATTCGTACCGAGGCACTTCCTCACCCAGGCATGGTGCCTGGTCCTGGCCAGTGGCTCTCTGTCTTGTCATGC